AAAAAAAAAAAAAAAAAAAAAAAAAAGAACTATAGACATCAACTGTAACTATGAAACCGAGAAACAGGCACTTCTGTACACTATTGCTGTAATTAAAAACTGATCAACCTTTCTGGAGAGCATGTTGGCAACGCACTGCTACTTTAAAAGCGCTTACTCTGACTCAGCAATTCCACTGCTAGGCATGTGTTCTAAGGAGGTTATCAGATAAGTGCACAAAGATAGACAGATAGATAGATATGTGCAAGGATTGTCACTGGAGAGTTATGTCCAGTATGGAAGCACTGAAAACAATCTAAATGCCCATCAATATGGCATTGTTTTAATAGATGACCCAGACACTAAAAAAATGAGATAGAGCTAAATGTACTGATATAGAAAGATGTCTACAATATATTAGGTTAAAAAATTCAGGTTTCAAAACAATATGTATAGTATGATCCTATTTTTAAAGGTAAAAATACATACACATATAAATATATGTGTATAAATACATATAAATAAGCATAGAAAAAAAGAAGAGACTGGAAGGGTATACCCCAAACTCTTCAGAGTGATATTACTTCTAGAGGGTGGGATTCATGAGGCAGATTTTACTTTCTGAGGTTAAGGTCCAGAAAAGTTAACTTGCACAGAGTTCATGTTCTTTCTACTATACCATGTTAAATCTCAAAAATTAAGTAAAAACACTTAAAACAGATAAGTATTACTTAGAAAATATCATAATCTAGGCATTACTTAGAAATTACCATTATCTAACCAGTGAAATCAATTGATACAAGTTAACTTACTCTTGGAAGCCAATTTTTGACCACAGTTAAATAAAATCTCTCCTTCAGAGATAGGTCTATCTGAAGTTTCAGTTTCAGTGACAGTAACGCTCAAGGGGCTCTCCATTGTTGATGAATCAGAACTCGGCACCTGTATGGGGGAAGGGGCCTTGGTGCCAGCAGGAAGTGGCATAAAGGGAGCTGGCTTTGGAGGTGCAGGCTGAGCAGTGACATCCATGCTCTCAGGTTCTTCATCCTTGGCCACAGACATGACACTAAGAAGAAAAAGACATGTTCTGAACTTACTGGGTCACTGAAGGCTTATATAATTTTGATATTGAAAAACAGATTCAAAGGTATTGTCTCCTTTAGCAAAGTATTCCTATAATCTGCACTACGATAATTAATTAACAAGACATTTTTCCAAAATAGTTTTCAGGCTTTAATCATAGACCATCTAGAAAGTTCTATCATCCATAAAGTAAATCTACGTGGGGATGTATGGTACTATAAAAGTCAACTGATCACGGTAAACGAAGATTCACACTGGGGAGAAATCATTTTCTATTTTAATAACAAGATGATAGATATCTTTACTTTAATCTGTTTCCCAAAAAATCTAAATAAATAAAAGAATAAAATAAAGTCAATTCTTTAAATAAAAGAATTGAAGATATAAATAAATTTGGTAAAATTTTAAAAACAAAATTTATGAAATTTCTTTCCACTAAAGTATCAATTAGCTTGTGATTTATAGAGCTTCATTTATAATTTCTGATGTTTCCAATGGGTTACATAAGTCAACTTAAGAAGAAATGCACAGTTACTAAAAGTGAACATGCTATCGCTTACATAGCTCTTGGGGAAAGTTCTTCTTGCGGAGAGTTAGGATTCTCTTCTTCCAGTGGCAGGTCTCCATCACTCCATGGCTTGGGAAGCTCTGGGCTTGATATCTTCAGTTTATCAGTGGAAACCTCTGCCAGAGTTGGGGTAAGAGCTGCTGCAGGAGGAGGTGTGGTAGCAGGGGTAACTGTCGGAGTGTTAACAAGTGTCATGGCAGGCATATCATTTCCTAAAGATTTTTTTTAAAAAGAAAAAAAATGCTGAAAGTCAGTAAACAAGTCCATAGGAAGGTAAGGTATATTATTTCAGAAATCTCTTAACATTTTGGCATACAAATAATGGCAATAGTAATTAATAACAATGATGGTGGCCATTAATGGGAAAATTCCCAAATTAATTTAGTAAAGCATGAGAAAATAACCTTGAAAAGACATCACTTTTAACACCACCATGAACTTAAAGTAGTCTAAGGGTGTATGAGATTATATATTAAAAAGTGGCAACCGGGCCGGCCCTGTGGCTTGGTGGTTAAGTGCGTGCGCTGCGATGCTGGTGGCCCCGGGTTCGGATCCTGGGTGCGCATCGAGGCACCGCTTCTCCCTCCATCCTGAGGCCGAGTCCCACATACAGCAGCTGGAAGGATGTGCAGCTATGACATACAACTATCTACTGGGGCTTTGGGGGGAAAAAATAAAATAAATAAAATCTTTAAAAAAAAAAAAAAAAAACATTTCTTTAAAAAAAAAAAAGTGGCAACCAATTCCTTAGTTTCGATGCAAGAAAAAATGATTTCCAAAAGCTAGTAAGTAACAGGTATGTGAATATTAATCTATAAGGCATCTTATAAAACACACCATGAAATTTTATTTAATAGTTGCTAAAATTAAAACTGAATTTTAGAAATAAGGTTTCTACCTTTTTCAGCAAATACTTCTTTCACAGGAAACGCTACATCATGATTTGAATCACAGGGAGAAGAATCTGGAGTTTTTACCAACACACACTCCTTAGGAGGTGAAGAAGGTGAGCGAGGAGGAGTTGGTTGTGGGGTCGCCACTGGGGTACACACTCTTGCCTAAAATAAAACAAGATAAATGGCGCTTATAACCACCCAAATGAAGGTAATTGGAAAAAATAAAATGAGTTCATTCAGAGATTACAGAGAATTTAAATGTATGGGGGGAAAAATGGAGCCCTAAATACTCTGGCTCTGGAACCTCCAGCTATTAGTTTCAAGCCTAGCCTGCCGAAGGCCTCAGGCAATTGAAATAGCTCTGCCTCTGAAAGAGGCCCTGAGGAAATCTAAGGCTCCCTCTTCTAACAGAGAGAGGAAGATTAAACAGACACAGCTGAAGATCAAACCCAAACACAAGCCGGCTAGGCCACATAACAGAAAGGAAGCATTTTAAACAATTGACAAGATATCAAAGATCAGCCTTTTAGCACAAAAGAACAGAGCTTGTAAAAAGCAATGGAAGGATAAGAAAAAGCAGGGGGATGAAATCAAGACAGCATGAAGGACTGGGGAAGGGAAAAGTAAACACTTTCAAATCAATTTGTTAAATAGGTAATCATACAAATGATTCAAAACTCAAAAGGTACAATAGGATGAGAGGGAAAATTATGTCTCCTTTCCTACCAATGCCCTATCCACCTGGTTCCCTTCCCCAGAGTTATCAAATACAATCTTGACCTAAGTCATTTCATATGTATATAGATTATCTATGGAATAAAGTCCCAGAAATGGGACTGCTTGGTTAAAGGGCTAATTGCATTTTTAATTTGAATACATATTGCCAAATGTCCCTCTACAGGGTTGTGTTATTTTACACTAACACCAGACAGTATAAGAACTCCCATTTCCCCAAGGTTTGCTAAACAAGAGCGTTATCAAACTTGCAGAGTTTTACCAATCTGATTAGTAAAAATGGGACTTCAGTGATTCCTTTTCTTATTATCAGTGACAGTGACCATCTTTTCATATGTATATAGATCATTTGTATTCTTTTTTGTGTGTGACCTCTCTGGACATGTCTTTTGCTCATTTTTCAAATACATTATTTGTCTCTTTCTTTTCATTCTAAAATGACTTTATCGAGTGGGGTAATTAGCCTTTTTTCTGCATTATGAGTTGCAAATTGATATGCAATTTAAAAACCATGAAGCATATTAGAAATTCTATAGCACTGCTTAATAATTAGCATATTCTTAGCCTTGATTTTTAAATGAAACAAACACACTATATTTTTTTTCTTCTTGAGTGCACAAACCTATAGCATAAGAACACTGTTGTCAAATATAATGCTACTGACTCATCATCATGAAGGCATCTAAAGGTATTCCACTAGTGATGGTAATGGTCAATGATGACAAACTATCTGTTACTGAGTATTTACCAAGTTTCACGCACTAGATTAAGCTCTTTTCATATATCTTCTCACTGAAACTTCCAACAAAATCTAATATGATGGCTAAGATACAGTATCATAAAGATGTCAGTTCTCCCCAAATTAAGCCAATCAGAATTGAATTAATTCCCATAAAAATCCCAACAGTCTTTCATAGAATTGGAAACTAATTTTAAAATATATTTGGAAGATCATGGGCCGGCCCCTTGGCTTAGCGGTTGAGGGCATGTGCTCTGCTGCTGGCGGCCCGGGTTCGGTCCCGGGCGCGCACGGAGGCACCGCTTCTCTGGCTGTGCTGGGGCTGCATCCCACGTGCAGCGGCTGGAAGGATGTGCAGCTATGACATGCAACTGTCTGCTGGGGCTTTGAAAAAATAAAAAGTAAAAATTAAAAAAAA